CAGCTTTTCATATTATTATTTCAATTTCCTGGCAAGTTTAATGTGGTTATGTTTTATTTTCATAGATTCATCTTGTATGAACCCTTCAGGGAGACTGAGCTTGCCTGAATTAGCTACATTGTTACATTTGCATATTGGGTGAACTGAAATTCCCTAATACAGAATTCACTAATTGAGTTACTGTACCTCCACACAATTGTATTAATGAATTACTTGTATGATTAGTGCCTCCAGAATGGTTGGCCCCAGGGGAGCAAGGATATATCTAAACTTAGATATTTTACTCATTGGCTAAACATATGTATAGTAATACCCCGCTTTACGCGTTTTTTTTTTTTTACGCGTTTCTACATTTACGCGGTACCCCGCCAGAACCGGAATGTTCACTTTACGCGGTGCATCTACTCATATACGCGGGAAGCGGCACGGGCAGGGTGCGCACAAGGTCGCCCAGTCATCAAAACATTACCGAGTTCTTCACCCACCACCCACCACAGCCGACCCAAGTCAGTGATAGTGAGGATATGGACTTTGAGGGGTTTGACAAAGAGGCCCTGCAAGCCTCTGTGGTGGATAGTGATACAATTGATACAAGTGATACAGGTGAGGGCCAATAATCTGCCCTCTGCCTCGGAATCAACCCCCCCATCCCCGTGTGCCCAGCCATCTTTTCTACTAATGTAAGTGTTAAAAAACCTAATATTATTGATATTTCTCTTAATTATTAATTGTGTGTGCATACCATCATAAAATTAAGAAGTTATTTTTACTACAACGTAGGTATTGTGTCTGAAAAAGTGGAGTTTGGGGGGTCGGCCCAGTCTCTATTTCAATTAATCTCATATGTTCTGTTGTTCACTTTACGCGTTTCCCGCTTTACGCGGGCCTCCGTGGGTTCAATTGACTGCGTAAAGCGAGGTATTACTGTATACTGTAGTTGACTTGTAAAATTTACAATTCAACATGGCCAAGTCATTTTAGCCAGCTTATTGTGATTATAAAGGAACATTTGATAATAAGAGAAATTAACCTTTAAAAAGATTAGTGCTTTGTTAAATAAACCATGCAGTGCTTAGTGCAGTGCAGTCCTGTTTTCTTTCATTGATGTAGAACAGCTTTGGACTTTGGGTTTTAACCAATGTTCTGATCAGTAAAGAGGAGGATGGGTGCTAGGTTGAGTGAGTGAGGGGTACTTACTGCCTAGGGAGATAGTAAAGGCTCTTTGAAATTGGTTGTGAGATTCAAGGTAAGATATATAGAAGTAAAAACTCTTAGACTTTCATTTTATTTTAGTTATCAGATCTGTTTATATACTTCATGTACCGTAGTCTTGAAATTTAACTGGATTTTCTCTGATGGGCAAAACAGTTTTGTCCTGTAAATCTGTACCAGAAAAGGGGATCCTGTTTGAGGCAGTAGCAGTAAAGAAAGGTAGGTAGAGGATGCAAAAGAACTGTGCAGTGATAATGATGGAATGAACATTAGAAATGAAAAGGAAATAAAGGTCAAGTTACCAGTTTTGGAAACATGCCGAGATAACTGCAGAATGAAAAATAAGGCTTTCGGGGTTGACCAACTTCTTTAAGAATGTCTAGAACAGTAGGAATAGGATTAAATAAAATATACTGTACTGTATACCAGTAACTGTCATTAACGTTAAAAAAAAAATATTGTTTATGCTCTTACCTAAATCACCAACAATCACCGTTGTCTAGGAGTTTATTGGGAAAAATCCATAAGGTTGGGTTTGTATATTCTTGGGCTGCTTCAAGTAAGCTTTGTTGTAAGATGTATTCACCAGGTCATCCACTTCCTATTGATTGGAGATATTATGAATCAGGGTGTTTTGATCCATTGGGAAGGTATGTGATATAGGAAAAATATTAAGTGGTTGGGAGTTCGTACTTAGTGCTAGTCCAGGGTGAGTGAGTGAGTTATGGGTAATGAACTATTAACAGAAAATACATGGGCTCTCCTCGGTGCCCTTGTATAGCAGTATTGGGTGCCTAATGATGGCACTATCAATATGCTGTGTTGAAAGTTTCCTGGTTTGGTTATTATTGTTTATAGTATTGTGTTTTTTCTGCACTGAATCAAGGAGGCAAAGTGCCACATTGCCACACCTAGCCCTCAGATGAGAGCAGTGTACCACCAGTGGGAGCACTTGACTAATATTGGTTATATGTTTTAGTGAACAAGGATCTTGCATTATTTTTCTAGTCATTTTAAGTTGTGCGGGCTAGTTTTAGTCTTGTTCATGGTTCAATGGGGAGATTTATTGGTTCTGGAGTGGGACACTCTTAGGTCTTCCCCTCTCCTTCAATTTTTTTTACTTGCATGGAAAGTAAGTACAGTACAATATTGTAGTTCTCTTATTGGAGAAGATTTCAACTGAATTTTCACTGTTGATTGAGGCTCTGACTTCTGATGGCTCCTCTCTGCCAGAGGTTCCAGGATGCAGTAACATCCTTTTGGTGACCCGGTCAATTCTCATTGGGGATGTGCGGGTGTATTGCCCAGGGGTTGGCAAAATGCATCCCATGGGTCACATCCATCCCACCAAGTGAATCTATCTGGCCTGCCACTGTGTCTAGCAACCAAGGAAAATTATGTTTTTTCCAATTCCAGAAATAAATCATTTTAATTATCTCCTAAATATAATGGGGGGCTGGTCAGTCATGGCAGCAACACTTTACCTGCCCACTACCTCTTCCTTATTGTCATAGCTGGTTTGTGATTACAAGAGCTGCATAGCTTAAAGGTAAAAGCCAAAAAATGTAGGGTTAATCCTGAAATTCGTTTTTCTGGTGAAGCCAGTAGCTAGGTGACCTAAAAATCTTGCTTCCTCCCTTGGTTCCTTGATTAGGCAGCTGGAATTGAATTAGAAAATCGAGGAAAGGGCTGTACAGATAATCAAATATGGTGGACAGTAACCTGGTGTTTTATATGCTGATTGGCAGATGTGGCTCAGATAAGAATTCATAACCTTCAGAGGTTAACTTTATGCCAAAGTGTTCTCATTTGAGGCTAGTGGTGTGATGGGGGAAAGAAGGGTTATCAAAATACTGCAATTCAGATTTGATTATTAGATCTACCATGTCACGCATAATGGTGGATTGTCTGAGAACAGAACACCCTAGTAAACATCCCTGAATTACAAGAGGTCCTTGGTTGAGGACTATACTATCTGAACAATATATTATAGGAACAGTCCTTCATTTATGTTACCACGTTACTTTATATTGGCTCACAATTCAGAGTGTAGAGTACCTGTGCTTCATGAGTTTTGCAATGTTTATTAAATCCTACGTTTTGCCACTATTAATTGCTTCTTCAAATTGCTACTACCTCTTTGAGTGGATGCTTTTTGATTACTGTAGTTGGTTAAACCTTGCATCTTTTTTTCTAGCCAAGAAAAACTATCCTACATAACACAGTATTTGGACAAATGGATGGTAAATGATGTTAAATGCATTATTTTCTTAATGATGCAGAAATGGCCCTTATTAACCCATCTTTTTAATTTTTTCTCATTTGTCAGTTTTAGTTTTGAATTTCATGTGTATCAGTGCTTTGATAACTAGCAGTGGCATAATTTTTACCATCAATGGTGATTTATGCTTTTCAGAAACTGGATGAAAGGTGTGAGGTTCATGTGTTTCTACCACAGTTTGGTCAAGGCTTCCAGAATATGGAATGATATTTAATGGTGTGATATCATTAACTAATGCAGCTTAACAAATAGGCTAGTGGAAGACATAATATAAATTGTTCCAGCAACATCTATATCATATGTCATTGTATAAACCCCTTCGGTTGATGTCTTTGAAATGTTCAAATTTTACAACTGCTCTGACCTCAAATTCTTGATCAACTGCTGAAGCATCATAAGGCATTCAAGTACACAAAGAAATATAGAAGCAGTTTGTCTGTTAGATACACAAATTACCGAATGGATTATATGTTGGTCGCCTAAAATATCAAGTGCTTTTATCCCTATGTTGATTATTGAAGGTAAGGATTTGAGTTTGTTTCTTTTTTAAGCAGAGAACCATATGGAACTGCCCTGTTCATTCTAGCACCACAGTTTTCATTCTTTGATTTAGTATTTTGAATATACATATATATATATATATATATATATATATATATATATATATATATATATATATATATATATATATATATATATATATATATATATATATATATATATATATATATATATATATATATACTGTAAAGGGTACCAATATTTTATCAAAAACTCTTATATACATAAACTAGATTCTAGCCACACACTTGCAAGCACACAGGATCTAGTGATGGAGATACAGTACTGTATTGTGTATGATGTACTGTAGTGCTTTATATTTCATGTTAAATCTTTACATAAAGAATTTATTTAGTAAGGTTCTAGATGAAGGCTATACAGTATTTAGCTCTTCTTTTTCTCAGATGTTACTTGATGTAGCAGAAGGCAGGTTATATACTGTACTACAACATTTATCTGTGGCTTTCTGATACAAGTATATGAAAATTTTTATTCAAGTCAACATGCAGTCCAGTCTGAACGCTAACCCATAAATACAGTACATTATTCAGTGTACATTACATTATATTGACCAGTGGTATGACGGTATCACAAACTTGGAACTCACCCTATAAGCTGTAAAGCATGGGAGATCAGTGGCAAATAACTAACTATAGTATTTTGGCAAGTTAGATTTTTGTTTTAGTTGTGAATGAGATGTAACTCCTTGTTTCAGTTTATAATAACAATAATAATATTATAGGTGGACTACATAGCTATGAAATATTGTATTATTATATCTTTTTAATGCTTGTGGTGCTACAGTATAAATCTTTTTAGGAATTAGATAATTATTACAATGCTCATCATGTTTTATATCAATTGAAACCAAATAACTGTACTAAGAACTCCATATTGTCCCCTACATTCATGTAGATCTTAAATTAAGGCGTATTTTTGCTTTCAGTATGGACTTGACCGTGAACGTTGTGAGGAGGAGTTATCTCAGAAGACCCAAATCCACCATGGTGGTTACTATGGTCCTTGGGGTCGCTCCGGCAGCGGACTATCATCGCCCTCAATGTCACGAGTTACCTCACCTATCAGAACAGGCATACCGTCCACGCCTACCACACCTGTTCTTACTACCACAACCACTCCCACAACTCAGATGTCGCACCACTCCACTGCAACACATCATGTGTTTGGGCCATTGCAGTCCAGTGGCTACCTAGTATACAGTTATGGCCCTGGGCCAGTTTATACATCTCCCACCACTACTGCTTTAACTACCAGCCCTGTATTTTATCAACCTCCAATCAATAATCCAGTAGGTTACGGGTGGCACCCTTCTGTCTCCAATGGATTTCGTGCAGCTGGTGTACAACCACCCACAAGACAGTTACAAGGGAGCTGTAGTAGACAAGATACTCCATATTGCTCCCATGAAGCTTCCAAGTCTCGATCCAGCACACCAGTTCTACCTAACTCAGCCCCAGTTGTACCCAATTCATATGACCCATTTATCGGTTATGAAAACAAAGGCCCCCCAGAACGTCGTAAAAGTGCAGAAACACATTATGAAGGAAGAAGAGGACTTCCATTTAATATGCAAGAATTTGAACAACAGTTTGAAAGATTGAATGACAGTCCACATCATTCCCCAACTCCCCCATTAAACAATATCATAAATTCTCCATCTCCAACAGCAACAACTACTACAACGATCACCACCACTACGAGCAACTGTATAAACCCCAACAACATCAATGGCAGCAGTAGCAGTCGACCTCCACCAGGTCCGAGGCATATCTCATCCTTATACCTTACCCCTGTCCCTCCCCATGGGGCACATCATGCCCCTGGACCTCCTTCAAGTGATGGCACAGTTTCAGTGTGTGGTCGATCATACACATCAGTAAACCTTCAATTAAGACAGCCATCCAGTGAGCCTCAACCACCTATCCAAATTCGCAGTAGTGGCTCCTCCCTCACCTACTCCACCTCTTCCCTTGACCATCGCCATGGCTCACGTTCCTCCCTCCAGATTTCCATAGGTCCCACTGGTGGCACAATCTCTGCCATGCGCACAAACCTTGACAATAAAAATTCCCAGGCCAACACAGCGTTCCACATCCAGTACAGCTCAAGTGCAAATGGTGGTTCCACTCCCACGGGAGCTGCATTCCCCACAACGGGGGATGTGGTAGGGCAGGAGGGGGTACAAGGGCAATCACGGCGCCCACAATCCTGGTACATGTCTGATTCTGTGCCCCCTGAATCAAGACAGCGCAAATCTTCACTACCAGAGTGTGTGGGGCCTCCAGTGTCCTTGCACCCCCTCCACTACCCCCCAAGCACTGAGACTAGCCTGGGTTACTCTGCAGGAGATCCCATATGGGCAGTGCCACCTGCCAGGCCTGATTCAGACCACATGCAAGGTATAGCAGCATGCACTACTGCTGTGTGTCCCCCGTACACCCCTCAGTGTGCTGCCTGATACCCACTTACACGGCCCCACAACCTGTTTAATGTGCCCTGGGGCTTTCTCTGCTGCCCTGTGTCAGGAGGTTGCCCATAGATTGATTATCCTGTAATTCTAGATATATGGCTACTAACTTTATATATATTTATATATATATATATCTTCTTTTTTTTTCACAAGGATCCACCTTTTGTGCAAAGTAGAATGGTTAGCTTGCTGTTAGATGTTTATAACAAAAAATATGAGCAATATTGTGTTTGGCTGTGTTGGGAATTTTTATTGATTTTACATTAATACAAAACATTTTGTTTTCTCTCCTGATATGGCTTTTTCCCAGTTCAGTAATATTGATAATTTAGTGTGTGCCATGGCTGACCTGGATCTTGCATGATGCTCATAGACCAGAGGTATTTTCATAAGATTCATGGAAATCCTTCAGTGATGTTTGATTACTGTCTAATCCCACTTTTTATGTCTCCAGTAAACGAGTGGAGGAACCAGTTTAGAACTTTATTTGAAATGGTCATATAGTTATAGAAATGCCTGTTAACTACTTAAGTTCAGCTTTTAATTTGGTAGTAATTTTAATGTTATACTGTACACTATATCTTGATACTTAATAGCAAACCGAGTTCAAGTCCTTCATGCAGAACTGTAATTGTTATATATAACTGAAACACTGTACAATACAATAATGTAGTATTGATTTTAATATCTTAGTACTGTACTGTACCGCACTTTATTTATACCTTTGTTAAAAAAGACTGAAGTAAAATGAGGCATAACATGATGTACAGTATAGTGCATTTGAGAAACTAATTTTAAGATCCTCTGTATATTCAATTCAACAGCACTGGTACAAGAGCAGATTGTACGCAAGCAAAAGCTTGAGGCTGAACTAGCAAAACAAATAGAGGAGAAAGGCAGATTAGAGACAGAGGTGGATATGATGATGCGTGAATTAAATGAACGAGAGCAGCAACGCAAGCATAACGCTGACACTAACACTATGGTAAGAACTTTGCACTGATAATTAGTTTTTTTTGAATAGTATATCATGTAACATAAATCTGATGTTTGGATGTTTATCCTGGGTAGAACAGGAACTGTTAATACCTTGCAGTAAAGCGAAAAATAGGATTTTTCTTAAAAAAATTATAACAAAACAAACTTTTAATGGTACAGTATAATCATTTTATATACTGTATATGCATTTTACACTTAATTTATATTTCAGAGAATCGAGGAAGTACAACGGGAGAATCAGCGATTACAATCTGAATGTTATGAAATGGAAAATAAAATTTTACGCCTTGGTAAGTAGTTACGTCTTCTCGGCTCATTTATTTGAATGAAGTGTAGGTTCTAATAGGAAACCAATGATGAACAGGCAACATTGTTTAGGGAAAATGCTCCTAGTATACTGTATATGCTCAGTATCATGTTCCCTTTGGCAGTACAGTACACTACAGTACAGTACTTATGTTTGATACTTGAATTATGTTTCTTTGTCACTTCTGTTTGAAGTCTTACCAAATGCTCTTAACATTATTCTCAGTCTCATTCACCTCACAATCACTTTGTTTTTTTTTTTACATCTTTGGGAGTTAAATATTCTCACTTTCACTGTACAAAAGGCTTGGAACCAGTACAGTAGACCCTCAATATTTGCGGAGGTCAGGTTCTTGAAAAAAAACCACGAATGCAGAAACTGTGAATGTGGTAACCTTATTTGAATGGGGAAAGGGGATTAGGTTCTTGGTATGAGTGAATGTAGAGGGGAAATATTAAATATTTAGAACAATGACTGCAACAAACACTGTACTGTACAGGTACCTGTAAATAATAACAATCTATAGAAAGTATAGTGAATGTGTTCTTCACTGATCTTTGATAATAATTAGAGGCATTGTGCCTGACAGTGACAAGTACTGTACAGTACAGTACAGGTAATGCAAAATTTGCATTTCAGGAAGTTTGAATCAAAGTTTTGAAAATGTAAATAGCCAATATTATGATATACTGTACAAAATTATATTATTTCCACCTGTTATCCCAGTTCTGCACATTTCTGTCTCTTACAAGATGAACATGACATTAAAGCAGTATCAGAACAAAAATTTTTGAATGCCAAAAAATTAAAATTTATGAAATTTTGGGGGGATAATTGCCACTTTAAGGTGTGTAACACAGACTGAGAAGAAAATGTCCAAATCTGGCCATAAACTCAACACCCACACTGACTCAGATCCAAGCATTATTAGTATTTTTTTTCTGGAATCACCTTTAGGTTATTAATATTCATACATTATCTACATTGTTAGCTGAGATTCCATACAGGCTGGCACAGAGCTAAGCTGTTTTCTTGAATGCTATAAGCTAAGCCATTTTCATTAATAGTGCAGGAGGGGTAACCTGTTAAATCTTTAGAAATTAAAAATTATATTTCAAGACATTTTTCATATTCTACAGGAACAGTATAGGATTTTTTCACATTTCCCATGTACAGGTACGTCAGATGTCGTAATGCACATAATTCTATGTAAAATTAAGAAAAACACAGATTTAGGAACGAAGTTCAAGCGACCTAGCAGTTGTATTGTCAGTGCACATGGCGTTGATATCCCAAGCCTTGTTTATTATTTATTATGAAGATATTACTACAGTATCTATATTTCTTGTGATCTAACGAAAGAATTTCAAGCAGTAAACCTGAGTAGGATAATGATTAGTGATTTCTTAGCACCAAAATATGGAATTCAAATTGCTAAACATGGCACGGAGGTTAAATAGATAGTGAAAATTTACCTTAACTCCATTTGTACGGGGTTTTCTCTGAGCTGAATAAAATCGTATGCCGTTAACAAAATGGAATAGAATAATGTAAAAATTAAACTCTGATTTTTAGGTATATACTGTACAGGGTATTTGAAATTGGTTTATTGGAAGTAAATATTGTGTTACCCTCAATGCGCTGTTACACTGAATGATATATTGTGGATTATGACATTTCACACTCCAATGATACTTGTAATATACAGTACTTAAATTCCAACCCCTTGAAAAATCATAAATACTAGATCAAGTTCGTGAATGGTGAATAGGTATTTATTTACTAAATTGCGAATCCAGAAACCACAAAGATGGGGGGGTTTACAGTATATAGTATAGTACTGTATAATACTCCTTACCAGTTTGGCACTTTAACAGATCCAGCCCTCTCATTCTCTCTTCCCTTCCCCAAGAGGTGCAAATTTAGACATGATTGTAGTAGTGTACATAAAGATGTTATTAGTGTAAATATATTTTAGATCATTTATACTTGCCATGCTTACATTATTTACACTTTCAGCACCAGACATGGAACCAGAAGGATACCCAAACATACCCTCCACCCAACCTTACAGTGAAGTTCCTGCAGCCTCTCAACTAACTAGTAAGTATTCTCGAGCTGTCAAGATCTTCAAAGCTATCATGGCAATGCAACACAGAGGCAGCAGAGAAGCAATGGAGGAGGGGGAGGAGGAGGAGGAGGAGGAGGAGAGCAAGGAACTTCGTATAATCTTTAAGGAGGGAAGCCTGGATATCATTGTGGAAGATTGGGACAGTAAGCACCCATAATGGCATTGTTTGTAGGGTTTCTCCTGTAGCAGAGAAGCAACCATGAAGTTACTCACTGTAGAAATATTCCTGTACCAGAAAAATAATTGGCTCTCTTGTATCGATAGAACCTGTTAATTCAGTTTGATAGAAGAACTAGATCCCTGTAAGCCAACACTCAGTTATATGTGGTATTATCAACATATGTTTGTATGAAAATAGATGTTGAACAGTATAGTATTATTTTTTCTTCCTGACAGGTGGGGAGGATGTAACATGCTGTGTGGTTTTAATCATAAGTTGTCAGTACCTGTTAATTCAGTCTGTAATGAAAATTTTATGAAGTTGAATTCTTTGAACATTTATCAATAGAATCCTTAATTTGTTTGAATTCTGGGAATGTTGTGTCTAGCACATTTTTACATTACATGTACTAAAATTTTACAATATACAACCTCAGTTTTACAGAATGTTAGTTTACCTGGAAGGCACATAATGAATCATGAGAAAAAATTTCCAAACTTTTGTTACTTTATACAAGCCTCAGCAACACTACAGAATCAAGTAAAGTGTAAATTGGTGCTGCTAGCCTTGTCAGAATGTACGTACTAAAATTTCAGGCTTTACCAGATACCTGTACAGTGTACAGTACTGAGAAATGAAAGTATTCTTTACTACTACTAGGATCTGATTGGGAGATGATATAGTGTAATAAAATGCAGATACCGTATTAGACAAATGCATACACTCACGACCCAATGACAATGTGTTGGTGGTCTGGAAAAATGTAGACTAACATTGGTGGCCTGAGATTAAGATTTTGTGAGGATTGCCCTGAGGGAAATGTATAACTTTTCTGAAATAGGAATTAGTGATATGACAAAATTATTATATTATTGCTAGTCTCTGGGTTGCATATTTTACTCTACCCTTTGTAGGTTTTTAAGTTATTATTTATTTATATATTATTATTTTATTGTATTTATTTTACTATACATGTACTTAGTCATATTTTTTCTTCAACAGGAGCAAGTTCTGGTTCAAGTTTGGGCAGTGGAACAGGCACACCTCAGACTCCACACACGCCCCACACACCGCACACGCCTCACACACCCCACACGCCCCACACACCTCACTTGCCTGGGGCTTACATACCTCCTAGACCTGCCGCCCCTCCCCCACCACCACCACCAACATCAGTCCCCAATCATAGTTACCAAGAATTTCAGGTATGCTATTTTTTTTTCCAGTAAATGGTGTCCAGAAAATTTAGCGAATACACACACTTGCATATTATCCCTTCTTTTATTGAAATTCACTGCTGTAATTCTTAAAGTTGTATAAGATATGTTCTATTGTACTCCCCTTCCACAATTAAGTATATGTCCCTAGATTGTGTAGAAGAGTTCTATTACTTGGCTGACATGATCAGTGCGGAGGCAGTGTTGAAGTTAGTTCAATTGCAAGAGTCAGAAGTGGTTGGAGGAAGTTTAGGGAGTTGCTGTCCCTATTGACAGAAAATGACCTTCCTTCCTTCCTTGTGAAAAGAAAGATGTATGCAACTTGCATGAGAAGTGTGATGGTATTTGGCAGTGAAAAATGGATGATAAAGAGAATAGCATGCATGGCCTTGAGTGAGCTGAAATGAGAATGGTGAAGAAAGATAGGAAACCCTTCTCAGAGCTAAGAGGGCAGCTGGGTATTTAGAGTATTAATGAAGTCTTGCGTAGAGGTTGGCTGAAATCTGTTTGGGCATGGAGGAGACCAATTGAGTCTAAATGGTGAGGTAAGGATCCTTTAACTTGTGATTGATTTTGTCATATGTGCAACTTTGAGTATTAGATGATGATCAAGTGAATAGGGATTATCTTCTTGTTTGTTTTCAGTAGGTGGTCCTCATTTTCTTGTTTGCTTTAATTTTTCCTTTGGAATAACTAACCCAAATGGTATGTGGTGCAAAGCAGTCAATTGTTACTTAAAACTGTCCATGCTGTGTAGGAAAAATTTGTCTTGGATCTTATTACTGAGAAGCATTCATTGTTTATTAGTGCTTGTCGTACTTTACTGATTCTCAAATGTAATCATATATTGTATCTATCATTAAAGATAGCTTCAGCTTCAACCTCCTTCACACATAATAAGTACACTTTCTATACCCATAAATTATGTTACTTCACTGCCAGGGAATACTTTGTGCTTATCCACTAATTCATTGCTATTTACCATCCTATTGAATCCTAACTGACCATTGTTACAGTTCGTGTTTTATAACAATAATATGTTAGTCATTTATATAACCTCATTACCATTCACCAGGGAGTGCGTGGGGAAGCAGTGGATGAGATTGGTCCAAAGTGGGGATGTACCAAATGCACCTTCATCAATCATCCAGATATGAACAAGTGCGAGATGTGCGACTATCCACGCTTCACCATAGGTACGGCTCCCTCCCATCATGCAGCTCTCCCCCCAAACCACCAGGGCCTATGCTACTGTCACCGTCATCATACTCCAGGTTCTGTTGCAGGTTCCATAGGGGCAGCTGCAGCTTACTCACCTCAGGGTTCCTGCTCCTCTCTTCCGCTTTCTAATGACAAACCAAGCCTAGCTAACATTCTAAAGGAAAAGCTAATTGGGATGCGTGATCGTTCGGATAGTGTATGACGGGTTCTTAGCTAGTCCTTAGTCCTGTAGTGCTATTTGAGCATTTTTTCTATTAACAGTACTTAATTTTACTAATTAAAGTCTGCTTTATATGATATGTTCCATACATTAGTGCACTTACTGTATGAGGTATAATTTTTTTTGCCCCCGGTCAGTTGACAAAAAAGAAAATACAACTTGTTTAGGAAGTTATCATATTGTTATAGAAAATTATAAGGGAATATTTTTAGTAGGACGGGTATCGTCCTGGGTGTACACTTCATTGGCCGGGGTTTTGAATCCCCCATCAGCGGGTTTAAGGTTGACAAGCTAGTTCATTGTGTTTAGAACCTGTGTGTCAAGAAGTTTGATGTGTCTAAAAAAGCCATAAAAGTCAGAGTAATTCTACCTCAAATCTCAAGAATTTTAATCATACACCAAAGATTCAAGTGATGGGGAAATATCTCCAAATCATGGGAATTATTGTACATGTTTAAGGTCAGGGTTTCATAGTTGACATGACAGTGAATCATAGGCCAATGCAGTATAAGAAATTAGTACATCCAAAAAAGTGCAAAAGTCAGTGGAACATATTGTGTATTACAGTCTGTCAAATATATATATCTCAGAATTATGACAATATTTATATATTGTACACATATATATACTGTATATATATTATATAGCAATAAGTTATGTTTAGATGACTAACCACTTAAAACACTGACTGTTTGGTGAGTGTGGTTTTGAAAGGTTGGGTTTGCTTGCTTTTTCAATGTTACAATAACAAAGGCATTTTGAAATTAAACTTTCCTTCTTTTTTTTTCTTGAAGTTGCAAGGGAAAAACTCAATGACATGTACTACTCCCTTATCTGGTCATGGGTTTGCAGCTGTTTCTCTTTCATGCTGTCTTGTCATACTCAACACTCATTGCCTGGTATTGTAGTGTTGTCCTGCATTTTGTATCTTCTACTAACATTATATACATAGGGAAAGTTAACACCAAAATTTAAGTTATTTTTTGTTGTATTTTATAAACCTTTAGTGTTATGTGATATTATATGAAAAGTCATGATTTAATTATGTAGGATTAAATTCAATCAAAATTTTAGTTTTGTTACTATTAACATTGGATTATTTCTGATATTGATGAGATGAAATGGAATTCATTATAAAGCCTGTTTGGTAAGATGATTCACATACCTGGAGAGAATAAGGAGACAATATAGGTGAGTTCCAGTGTTTACTAATAATGATTATCATTGAAATAAACATTGCTCAATTGCCAATTATGTGCAATAGTGTACTATGAAGTGGTTTTCATATGCCTTAAACATTTGGTTAATTACATTAATGTTTTCCCCACATATGCATTTCCATATTAGACCACGGTATGAGTAACACATTCAAAAACTCATTATATCTCTCTAAGATTACCAATTTATGTTCACATAGTACTGCCATTATTCTAGCTCCTTCCTTATTACCTTTTACTTTTCTGGTAATGGTTTTTAGAGCTATGCTTAGTGTCTTCCTTCTTGGGACAATTGCAAATGATTTTTGCTTCATTTATGTGACAGCCAAATCTGATAACATGTTTTCCAATGAATAATATTGTTGGTGGGTTATTGATTTTGAAGGTATGGAGATGATTGCCACAATTGGTTAGGACACAAAATCCCTCTTCCCCCCCATATTCAGAGAGTATTACTTTAAGTAACCATTCCCTTGCTTAAGAAATGTTTTATAGTGGTAGATCTTATAATGATGAAATGACATTACAGCAATAGAATTACAGAATCATCTTTCCAGGAAGATTTGGGCAAATTATTCCTCTTAATATTTCCTCTGTGGACACTGAACCACTTGCCTATTGAACTTTTATTTTGTACCAGAATTAGCATCACCTTTAAGGTTCAGGGATGAAGAATGAGATCATCAAAAGTAAAATCAAGAAGTTGATACTGTAAATTGTGTATTTGGGTGGAGCAGTCTTGGAAAATGGGAGACCAGAGGTAGAGATGAGAAGAATACGTATGGGCTATAAAATGGAAGAGGGTGGTAAGAGTTATGGAGGATGGGAAGATCAGATTAATTCTGGAGGGGAATGTGTTCAGCAGTTGATTCCACCCCACCTCAATGGAATAGACTAGATATGATCGAGCAACAGCAGCAGTGGCTGCAGGTACAGTATATGAGAACTGGATGAGAATGGTAGCAGGAGTGAAGAGACAGGATAGAAGATAGAATGAGTTATGAGGGGGAGAGTGGAGTGGTAAGGTCTTTTGACATATAAGCTAATGAGGTTATACTGAGGTGGATAGATCATGTACAGTGATTTGAGGAGGGAAAGCTGGTGAGAATAAGTGAATGGAGGGATAGTTATAGAAGAGAGGAAAGCCTAGATAAGAGATAGGAGGAATGTGTTAGGAAGTACTTGTAAGGCTTGCATTTCATTTCTTTAAATTGCAGATGATCCTATATTCAACAAACAAATGCTTTTCAGAGCTGGTATAAAATAAGTCTGTTAAATGCATAGTGAATGCTGTGGTACCATCTGTTTGTAATTAGAGCAGTTCATTAAATTTATCTGAAAGTCGTTTAAGGACATTTTAAGTTTTGTGCATCCATGTGCTCTGGGAAGTTTGAGACACCTCCAACATTGCCTTTAGTTGGTTTCAGAATTTGTATGAAAATATACTGCTAGAGTACAATAAACCTGTGGATTAAGACTTTTTTTTTTTTAACACCTTTAGTTATGGACCACCTTAATACTGTATATGAATGTGTAATTTTCAACTCTTGGACTGTCATTGGGTATGAAGCACAGATACAGGAAGAGGCAAGGCTTAGTGATGATAAGAGCAGATTCCATATACTTTTACCCAGGTTTAGAGCAGACTGACACGTAACCTACTGTTCCTCAATTAACATGACTTAATCAGGATCTCTATACTTTCAAGTTTGAAAAACCCATTGATAATATTATACATGTTTAGTAGTTGTCATTTGTACCGAGAAGAAAGGTCATAGGAAAAAATTTAAGTTGTCACATAAAGCTTACTAATGATAAAAAATCATGAGAAACCCTGAAAAGATATGGAAACTTTGGAGTTAAGGGAAACAAAGAAAGGTGAGAGAAAATTATAAACAGCAGTGCAGTATTGAAGGAGTAGTGTGAAGTGGGAGAACATTAGAGATAAGTGTGGTGCTACAGTGTAATTATGGCAAGTGGTTCCTGGTTTTGTGGGGAGTCATGCATGGTATTATTCCTGAAAACACATTTTTCGTAAACAAAAAATTCTGTTGAAGTACAAAAAATTGGTGTTATAGGTACAAATTATTGAATAGATTTTAGTATATTGCTTTTACCATAACTTAGAGACATTTATTCAGTACAAGGGTATTAGAAAAATTTACATACCGGTAAATACCAAAAATGTTTTCCGTGTTTATCAAGGCAGTGGTGATAATGTCATTGAAAGAAAGTATTATGTTTGAAAGTTATAAGCCTGTGTAGTTTATGATTGGGTAATGACTGAGCATTTTGTCCATGGTTTGTGTTAATGATTTAGACTTGTATGTCTTGTGGTTTTCAATTATGTACAAAGTTATGGTTATTGATATTTCCTACAAACTAGTTAAGAGTAAATGTCTCTTATCTTAACACACTGTTGTTTGGTGAGAAGGTTTTTTGTAATTTAATGATTAATAATGTTTTACTGATTTCTTTCTTGTTTTTATATGGAGGAAATCCATCCAATAGCTTTTCCTTAAAACTTATAATGAGGAATAACAAGGTAAGAATTCTTTTACTTAATAAACTTCTGTTGTTTTGTGGTACTTGGTGCATTATGGTGTAACACTTTATATGTATATATACTATATTAAAAGGGGGAGGGAGGGAGGGGAAGAGAATATATAGCAGAAGAAAATGGAGTTAAGAATTAGAAGATAAATTATATTATCATATGTTTTTCAGATTCCTAAGTCCATTGGTTGTGGAATAAACTTTTCTTCTTCATATTTGAAGAAAAACATTTCAGTATTTCTTTCTAATCTTGTCTCCTTCCCTTTTCTTCTATTGTAGTATAACAATATGAAGAGCTGTAGGGTCATTCTGTAACTAGTTCAGTAGCCATAATTTATTATTTATTTATTTATTTTAATTAATGTATAAACAAAAGGTATACCATGCCAGCTGGTCTGTTAAATAATGTCAGGATAAGATTTCTTATTAATTTAATTTTCAAAAACAAAATTGTTGCTTATTTATATAAAGAAACAAAGGCTTGTGATGGGGGTGCAGCAGCAGCAGTGTATTTGCTTCTCACTGCTGTCTCCCAGGTTCAGTGCCTGGGTTAGATGTGAGAAGGGTGTTATCCAGTGTGGCACTACGGTACCGAACATTGTGGGTTTTCTCTGGGTATTTTAGTTTCCTCATGTACTAACTCTGGACATTAAAAGTTATAACAAAGTAACATAGAACAGAATGACCACCTGAACAGCTAGTGAGCTGACAAATGGTGGAAGTAATAAAAAACAATATTATTCTATTAGTATTAATATTATTATTGCTATTTTTGTTATTAAATATTGGGCAGGAGTTAATATATTAGTACAGTATCCACAAAAATATTGATCCCTATAACATTTTTACCGCACTTGACTTTTAATAAAAACATAAGTTAAGGGTATATAGAAAAAACACTAGCCAACTATTATATTATTTATTATTTTGTCATGATTTCTCGTAATTTTATATGCAGTTGGAGTCAATTTGGCATTGATTCAGCAAGTGTTTGGAAATAATCATTCCCATCTCCATACTGTAATCTGGATTTGCTTAATCTCCTACTCCTGCTGCAGGCGAGGTATTGATGATGTGTTCTGTTTTGACAGCTCGTATTTCACCTGCGTCCATGCATTCTCTATTGGGTTTAGGTCCAGTGGGTTCCCAGGCCACTTTAGCACTTGAATATGCTTCATAAGGAGTTTTTTGGGGGGTAGGGCGAGGTGGCATGTTCAGCTCCTTTTACAGTTAGTAATAAATTGTTCATTCTGACATCTCTTGAAGAAGGTTATGAGGGACTTTATTTCTGCTGCAGACATTGTCAGCTTACTCATCATTTCTTATCTAATAAACATGTCAAGTGGCCTCGGAGGTCGTTCTGGGCCTCCCCCTTCCTCCTGGATTTTCTTAAGAGGATTTTTTTCACCCAACAGGGCAAGAATGTGAGTCATACCTTCACCTGACATGTTCTTGGGACCCACGGTGACTGTTCTGAGAGATAAAAATTGAGCTACTGGGTAGTATGGCTCTTTGTGGGTGGGTGCATAATTTATTTTATTTATTTTTTATTTTTTCCCATCATCACATTTCAACAGACACTGATACAACTACTCTAGGTTACAGCTGAATACATGACCGTGTGGGAATTGTGTGCATAGAAATCCGAGCATAAAAAGACACCTTTGGTTACTTAAATGGTATTAATATTTTTTGTGGATACTGTATCATCTTCACTCATTTATAAAACAAGTAGAAGAGTGAACCCTGTAATGATTATATAATTATTGCTAAATTCAATAAAACTAAATTTATGAATCGAGACATTGTAGGACAGTATCATTGGTGTTAGGTCTTTAATATTGACTCATTTCTCAAATTCATAGATAAAAATTGATACAGTATGGGCAAATGTTATAATGTCAAGATTTATTTCATTATACTGCAAATGAATAACTTTATGAATGTATATTTTAAGAAGTGAAATTGTAGTCAAGATAGAGAAAGGTGTGAGAAAAATTGGGGAAGGGGGTTGATAACGTACAAGATGGCATAATTAGTTGTTACAGTTATTTGTACAGTGAATGTGGTGGGAGTTACTGTAATTGTAAAAGAATTGTTTACTGAATGAGGTGATTAGGGCCACATAATGCTTAAGATGAGGTGCAGTGAGAGTATGGGATAACTTGTGTTGTTTTGTGATAGGAAATCAAAATGGAATTATATATAGAAATATGCAGGTATTGTGAAGTGGAGGTTTAACTGCAGCCTCCTTATTGCAGAAGGTTTGTACTACACCTTGGGTAATCTAGTAAATCATAACATTTTATAAGAGTATTTTTCATGCTTGGAAAGTCAGGAAGTTTTACAGAACTTACTAATGTTATGAAAGTACAAGACAAGGACTGCCTATAATATTATGGTTGTCTGTACAGGTATATGATAAAGAATATGTGAACATTTCTTAATATATTTTCATGTACAGTGTATATAACAAAAAAGAGTGTAGAGTACAGTGTATATAACAAAAAAGAGTGTAGATATTAGGTTTTGCTTGAATAGGAAATTAACTTTTTTTTAGAGATCTACTGTATATTCACCTCACTGTAGGAGAATGCATTATAGAAATAGATTTTGAATGGGCTGTAAGAATCTTGACTTCATTTGAGATGGGAGTGAAGGAATTCAGTATGTATGAGGAGATAGGTACTGTACTCTTTATTCTTCTTGACTTGTATTAAGTGAATCTGGTAATATTAACAGACTGAAACCATTGCATTACACAAAATTGAGTGTTTTTAATATATATATATCCTTTCATGAGACCATAATTTTCACTATTTGAGATAGAATTTAATGTTTACTATTACATGAGCATGGTTTATTACCGTGAAGTACAGGTATGGGACCATATATCCGGCATGCTTGGGACCTTGGGGTTGCTGTGTAGATATTTTCTGGAATTTAGAGCACCAGGTCTAAAATGTACAGTAAACCCTCTGTGAATTGCTGTTAAGACTGTGTTCAGATAACTAGTGTTGCCCCAAGAGTAGATTTAACCGTATTAACTTTAACTGGATCAAAACTTAAAATTGAAGGCATATACAGTATACGTCAATAACAAAAGCATCTAAATAACAATAATGAAAGCATAAAAAGAGCAAAAATTATGCAAGTTAGAGTACAAACTGCTTTAGCAATGCAGCAGCGTCCTTAGCAACGTTGCTCCACGCCTCGGACCTTCCGGCCTCTCCACACACACACATTCTTGCCACATATCTTCATGGTGGAGACCCATAGATACGTAAAACTTAATCCTCACTTGACACAGGATTTACTTGGTGCTTGTTTTAAATACTGTAATTTATTCCAGAACATTGCCGGTTTTTGGAGCATTCTGCGTACTGGGACACTGGATAAACGGTTCCATACCTGATATTGATGCTGAATGAGGGAATTCTTTATGATGATATTAAAGAATAGATGATTATATTATTTATATCATAATGAGTATGTATAAAGATATAATTCAAATCCTTGTTCATAATTTGCTATTGCTTAAGGCTACTTCTATACTGTCCTCTGTCAGAAGGTTTTATTTATTCTACTTTCATTTCTCAGGAGATATGCAAGATATTCATATCCAAGTTAGGCACCAAAACTTCCAATCTCCACGTAAGCCAGAGCTGCATGCCTGGGGTGGCGCCATTCTGCTTTTTCCCTTGTCAACACACTGGGGATATTCTGTTGTATTTACTTAACCAAGTTATTAGTAACCATTTTTTCTGTGGAGATATACAGTATTAACTTTAACTTACTCTTAAAATTGTTGAAGAAAATTTATTTAAATCACTTAGAGTACATTTAAACTTAGTACTTAATGTACAGGTACCCCTTTATAAAATAAATTTTTAAATTTCACAAGGATAATAAAACCTAGTA